CCCCAAAACCCCAAAACCCCAAAACCCCGAGATTCAAATAAGTTACTTGAAATTATGAAGAATTTGAAATATTTAGAAAAAACAATTTAATGTTGCCATTATTGTTAATATAGTTTATTTAAATTTCCTTTATGATATACCCTCAATTATCTTGATGTAATTTCATCAGTCACAAAAATCATTCCTATTCGAGTTAATTTATGCAGCGTTAGTATGTTCATCGAAATGGTCATTGTTGAATTCACTATCTTCAGTGAAATTTTCATTCTTCTTTTTGCCTGAACTTAGATTCATTTCTCCAGCGAAGTGCTCTTCCTCATATTGATCATCTGATGAAATACCATGTAGCTTGTCAATCTCATAATCTTGTTGCTCTGCATCATTCGGGCCATGATTTTGCTAGTTCTAGTGGTGTCCTTCTTCATAAGAATCATCAAAGTCACCATGACCATTCATCTCAATATCATCGAGATGGATTGGCAACTCAGACAGACTTTCTCTTTGTCTATGATTAACAACTATTGTTTATGCGATGTCCTTTTGTTTTTTTGCATCTTAAATCTCCTTATTTCTCATTAGTTCATGGCTCTTAACTTTTCTTTAAGCGGCTTCAATTTTTACTTCAATATCCTTAAGTTCTTTCTCAATTTTTTAATTTTTAGCTTTTGTCTAATTGATTTTTCTCATTGTCAATAAAAATAGGATTACGAAAGCTACACAAAAGGCTATGACCAGTGCTAGAACTATACCATATCCAGCATTTGTAGAATTAAGTTAAGATTCCCATCCCTCAGTTACTTGCCTTACTGATTTAATGTAGTTTTTAACTACATTTTTTGTGTTGTTGGTTGGAATCTCAATTAATCTCTAGGTTTTAAGATTCAAGTCTGAGAATTTAAGTTCAAAGTTAGTGAGATCAACTCCTTCTAAAAGGCTTGCATCCGGTGCTAAATCAAAAGCTAGGACTGCATAATCCACTAGGTCTTGTTAAAGATCGATATCTGATGTTTGTAGAGTTAGAATAAATTACTATGCAGTTTAAGGATCAACGACGATTCTTTATACCTCACTTAGCTTTTTAAAAGGATACTTCTTCTATCTTATGTAAACACCCACTGGGAATTATGAGATATTATTTGAGTCTGTTGAGAATATACTTTGAAGCTATACTGTATATTTAGAATTTCCAAGGACTATATCTAAAGGAGTTGTAATTAAAGCACTTTTCTTAGCATCAATTTAATCAAACTTTATGGTTACATTAATACCGCTTTACGCAAGCAGATTTGAATCTATTTAGATTTAAGCATTTTTGAATGACTTGGATGCCATCCAATTATCGTTGCTTGTAGAAATCGTGTTTTATCTCATTATAATTGAAAGTGAATTTGTCCCATTATATAAAGTATCGTCAGCTAGAAGTACATTTTCTGATGAAAAACTTGTAGAGGAATATGTTGAGGGTTGGAAGAAAACTTTATTTTTAGTTGTGAATGTCTCCCAATTATTAAAGGTGGCAAAGTTATCTATTAAGTTCTTTGATTAATCTTCGCTACCAGCTGTGTAATTGAAATTTCTTACTCTGAATTGATAAACGGATCCTTACAGATCATTATCATTGTCTAGCCAAGTCCCAAAATATGGTCTCAATTATTAGCCTAAGAGATTGAAGTAATCTGAAAATTTATCTCCTTCTAATCTCTACTCATCCATTTATGTTGAGTTTATTACAACGTTTGAGGAATTTAGAAAGTAAACGTTAAATCCGGTAGGTGTGACTTGAATAAAATAAGAGCTGTAATTGCTAAAAATACTCTCATATTAAGGTTCTGATTCAAGCAATCTAGTTGGAGCATCATTTTAATCCTTAGGTAATTCATTTGATGTACCATTATCATTGCTGTTAGTACTATTTGAGTCTGTGCCATTTGCAGTAGAGTTAGAATCAATAGTATTATCACCAGCTTACTCATTTCCCCCTATTGGATCAGTATTATTTGAATCGCTATCAGTATTATTTTTAACTCCTTCATCAGGGCCAGTGTTATTATCAGAATTAGTGTTATTATCAGAATTAGTGCTATTTTCTGTACTATTATCTTAACTTGTACTATTATCTTGATTTGTGCTATTATCTTAACTAGTACTATTATCTTAATTAGTGCTATTATCTGAATTAGTGCTATTTTCTGTACTATTATCTTAATTTGTGCTATTATCAGTAATGTTGCCATTACCATTATCTGGATTTGTAGAATTATCATCATTAGTTGAATTATCACCTCCATTATTATCATCTGGATTCTCTGGATTTGTCTCGTTTCCAATAGAAGTATCATTTTAATCAGTGGAATTACCTGCATTTGAATTTTCGTCATCAGTGCTATTATTATTGGGTAGTGGTTTAGGGAATAAATCAAGCAATGATTTGAAGTTAATGACATTTGGAATATTGAATTCAAATAGCACTTTTTCATCTCCATAGCTATCCTTATTAAAAATCAATTGGAGATATCCGTAAATATCATCCATCCTGTTGGACTAAAATCCAACTCCGAATGTTTGACTCACACTATTCATATCTGTGGGATATATTTCTGCTCCGAATGTACCATTCGCATAGCTTTTACTGCTCAATACCAGACCTGTAGAGGTTGATGGACCTTATGTCTCATATTTTCTTTGCAAATTTCTCAAGTTTTAATCAGCTAAAGTAGCTGTTGAGAGCAAGAGTAGAAATGTTGAAGTAATTAGCTGCTTCATTTAGCTTTAGAAGTTATTATTATTTATTTAAGAAATACTATACAAATAATTTAAATTCAAAATAACTTCTCAATCTCTTAAGAATAGTATAATTAATTAACCTATTCAGATCTTAGAAATATTATTAATTTGAGCCTATTCAAGATATACTATAAATCATTAAACTAAAATCATAAAAATGAACTCTAGATTTGCATCATTGCTCGATTACTAAAACTATGCAAAGAATATCCTCTCTAAGAATATCTATGAATCTTTAGAAGACGGAAATGGAGATTAGGTAACTAAAAGTGAAAACGAAGAAGATTTCGTAAGAATTAAGATGAAACTGAGAGGAATGGCTAATATGAAATATTTTAAGGGAATAGAGAAAGAGTTTAATCTCAAAAAGGTTTCTTCTCCAATTGTAATGGGAAATCTTCCTTTGCAAGGCAGATTCTGCTATGATGGGGAGATTGCTGCTGCTTAAGCAGCAAAAGAATTAGGAATAATCTACACTTTAGATTGCCACAAGTCAAGCAAATGCTAAGATCAAATAATGAAAGAATCAGTGGGAGGGGCAAAAATCTTAATGTTATCACCTGCTCAAACTGGCTAAAAACGAACAGAGATAATTGAGAAATTTAAAACTAACCAAGATGTGATTGCCTTTGCTATTAATCTAGGTCTTGAGAGTCAAACAGACTCCTATTAAAAAAGACATGGCAAGTAAGATTAAGATGCTTTGGAACAAAGCCAATCTGCATTTTCACTCAATGATCTTAAATCTTTGAAAATCTCAGTAGGATCTTTGCCATTAATTGTGAAAGGTATAATGAACAAAGAAGATGCTCTTCTAGCAATATAAAATGGAGCTGATGCAATTTGGATATCAAATGTCGGAGGACGATCCCTTGATACATAACCATCTGCAATATCAGTTCTTAAAGCTATCTCGTAAACAGTCAGAAAAGCTAACCCCTAAGTTCAAATCTTTATCGACGGAGGCTTTAGAAGAGGAACTGAGGTTATTAAGGCGATTTCTTTGGGTGCAGACTTTGTCTGCTTAGGAAGACCTATAGCTTGGGGACTTGTGTTCAAAGGAAAAGATGGCTTGAAAGAAATGATTGAGTTGCTAACAGAAGAATTAAAACTTGGAATGGTTTTGACTAATAACATGAGCATTAATGAGATAAATGAGAATAATGTTATCCATAGTTATAGATATAGGCTATGATACATTTTATGTTAGATTTCAATTCAATTTTTGAATAAATCTGGAATTAAGGGGTTTTGGGGTTTTGGGG